ATAACCATCTGGCCCTGGCCAGTTTGGCTCAGTGGTTAGAGCATCAGCCTGCGGACAGAAGGGTCCCGGGTTCGATTCCAACCAAGGGCACATACCTTGGTTGCAGGCTTGATCCCTGGCCCTGGTTGAGGTGCATGCAGGAGGCAACTGATCCATGTCTCTCTCTCTCTCTCTCTCTCTTCCACTCTCTCTAAAAAGCAATGGAAAAAATATCCTCAGGCGAGGATTAAAAAAACCCATCTGAGTCCTGGCCCCTGACCCAATAGATGACAATGATAATAACAAAATAGAAAGGGCTACCGTCTGTGGGTTGTATATACTATGCGTCAGGCACGGTAACAGGTGCTTCCCATGTATCCCCTTCTTCACCCTCCCAGGAGCGCAGCGTAATTAAATCCCTTTACACACAGCGAGGCGCCTGGCTTCACACCCAGAGCTGGCCGGCTCCGAGGTCCAAGGCTCAGGGTGGCACCTCTCTCCGGCTCAGGGAAGCAGAGGATATGGGAGCCCTAAGAAAGGTGAGCGAAAAGGGGCTGCAGTGGCAGGAGGAGACTGACTGGGCGAAGAAGGGGGCTCTCCCCTGTTGTCACTCACACCTGTCTCCCCCTAGTCACCCGGCCTGCCAGAGCTGTACTCTAGCGCTGAGGTTTCCAGCACGTTCCTTCATGCCTTCATGCAGTACTTACTAAGTACGGACTCTGTCCAGAGATGACACTCCAGGTGCTTTTAGAGGCACTGTGTCATTTAACCCGCACAGAGCCCACGGCCCTGGCTTCCCATGGCCGGGGCAGTGCATGTTCTTCAGGATGGGGCGCTCTGGTCATGGCTCTGCCCTGGTGAGAATGGTGCAGCATTTGCCTCGTCCCCATCAGAGAACTGTTGTTACCAAACTGCCTGCCTCTGGCTTTTCTCAGCTCAAATGGCTGTCCCCACCTGGGTCAAAGAAGGTCACATACTATAAAAACTTGGGTGACGGGCTTTCTGAGTGACTTCCTGAGCACCTACCACAGTGCCTGCTGCATAGACCTAATAAATACTTTCTAAAAGAATGAATAAACAAATGAGTCGGGAAAGAGATATACTGAATCTGCCAACATGAAATAGCTCAAGAGAGTGTGCAGTTATGCATCCTTCGAGTGCCTGGCAGGATCCTATGTGTGCTGCCTCCTGAATTTCAGAGTGACAGGAATCTACGTGAGTGCCCTTCACACCAACTATGGCAAGATGGAGAGAGAGAAACCATGCCACCAATTCAGATGACAAAAAAGATCCTGTGCTGAGCCACCACTGGTTCTGATGCCAGTGGCGAAATATGTGGCCACGAAGCCATCATCATTTTACAGACGGTCACTGAGAAAAGCCTATCTGAGACACAAGGCTGACAAGTGGAATTATTCAGAAAAAACTTGTCTCTTGCCTACATCAATCCCAAATTCAAGCTGGTAGCTTCTTAGCTAATAAAACCATTTATAAAATACATTGAGTCAAATTTCATTTGTCTAATTAACCCTTAGGGAATGACTCACTCCAGATCACCAAGATTCCCGCACAGTTAGTTACTCCTGTAAGTATCAAAACTTTATCTGGAGAAATAGATTAGTGGTTGCCTAGGACTGGGGAGGGTGGGAG